TTGACTGTGATTGGAAGTATGTTCCTAGCCTTTGAAGTTCCGGGCAAGATACATTTGGCAAAGTCTCGCAAGACAGACTCTGGTGTTGTAAAAGGGACAAGATCCTGTCAGTGAATAACTATAGCAATTTTTACATTCTTGGGCAAAGCCATACTCACAGAATAGAGTACCATAAGGTTTTATCATTTCTCCCCACATTCAAGCAAGTCTCACAACTTACTTCTCTCTCAGTTTCCTCTTATGTTCACTCTCCTTTTGATACCGTGTAATTAATTGCACTCTAATGTTGGTGCAGTGGTTTGATTATAAATCTAAATTACAGTAGCAGCAAGAAGCCACTCAATTGTAATATATCTATATAAAAAAGGAGACAAGTTACCACCGTAGAACCCCTTTCAAATGAAGAACACATATTGTTCCAACTCTAAGCATTGCTCAGATGTGCAGTGCACTAGGCAATAACACTGAAATTGTCAATTAATCTCAGAAAAATTTTGAGGAATCGTTCGTGTATGTTTTCCTTGAATTTTGAGTTCTCAAAGCATAGAAATTAAGAAGCAAAACAGGCTTTTTTTTTTTTTTTTTTTTTTTTTTTGGTCTTAAAATGGACTCTCTGGGTTTTGAGCAACAGTTAAATGTAAAACAAAAACTAATTCAAACTCACAGATTCATATAAAAATTTAGACATTGTCACTGTCCTTTCCTCACTCTATTCCACCCCAGCTTCTGGTCTCGCTGCCTTGACGCCCTCTCTGTCAGCATCTGGAGTCACTCCTCTCCACCCCCAACTTCATGAAATGCTGCTTTCCTAGGACAGAAACTGCACTTTCTATGGCTTGAAAGAAAACGTGAATCAAGATATCTCAAACACTAATGGGATATATTAAAGCAATTTAATTATTTTAATCTCTTTCATATATCATGAAATTATGTAGAACAATTTCATTTAAGTGTTACTATCACTGTTGAGGCTTCAATTGTGAATTGCTACACCAGCAAATATTGAAGAACATGAGTGCTCGTGAAGTTCTATTGCAGGGTATGCGAGTGAGGACCAGAATGACACCAGGAGGAAAATTTCCATCATAATCAACTTATTCATTCTGTAATAACCTCCTTAGGAATCAGACTTCAAGATTATAATGTTCTGTGATTAGTTTCAGTCCAAAGTTAATGTTGTTCTTTGAGTTAGTGTTTGCTTTACTCAAGTTATAACACTCTCACATAGGGCAAGAATAATTTTAATTATAAAATAATTATAAAAATAAATTGAATAAAATAAATGAACAATAGGTTAAAGGAAGCTGAATTAGACCATTTAAATACTACATAGAGTAGGCCTTCTTTGAAAGACAAAATACATATGAAAGTTAAAAGTAAGGAAAGTCAGGTTCCATGAAACAAAAATTACTTTTCAGTTAGTTTTAACCACATAATTCCCTGTTTCATAAAAATTTTTCTCTGTATTACATTTAACTTGTTAAAAGACAAGGGTGCATAGTTACCTATACCTATGTATATGTTGGAGATAGACAGTTTCCCCGATTATTTTTCAGTGTTTTACACAAGTGAATATTCAAAAGCAAAAATATAAACTATATGTTTTTTCCAATATCATATCAATAATTCAAATTAAATCATAGACAAATCACAACTTAGAAAAATATGAATCTTCACCATTAACTAATGCAATTTAAGCATATGTATAATTGGGGTATGTTAATAAGATTATAAATAACATTTTTAAACAAAATGTAGTTTTGAAGATGAGAGTCTTTCAAACTTTGAAAGGTTCTCATCTTTATATCAGATATGAACCTAGATATTTAATGTGTAGCTAGATTAATATTACATTCATGTCAATATTACATATTTCTGATATATAGAAATTGTATTAGCATAAACTGACAGCAATAAAAACAGTCATATAATTCATAAAAATAGGGGAGTGAATGAAATCCACGAGAAATTTCATACTAGTTACAAAGTAAAAAGAAGATATACTCTTATTCATTCTAGGTTAATTTAATTCCAATCATAATTATTGAATACAAGTGGATTCATTCATTTCCTAGCAAATAAATTAAATAGTAATCTGCTCTGGATCATTTGCTTTGTGTTCAGTCCTTATTAAAACCTTAGAAAACTTGCGTGAGAAACTTTAAGAGATAACAGTGTCAGCAAATTCACATAATCATGTACAGGTAGGCATATCATATGTAATGGTTTCATATAAATGAAATATGTATACCCACATACAATCATACTCCACAAAATATGTATACCCATATACAAATTATATGTACTTATAAGATGTCAATTTAACTAAGTAGTATTTACTTTTTTAAAGTTTCACTGTAATTTAGATTATTCAAAAAAAAAATGATTTTCTGGTAAGGGTTGTTCATAGGAGAGTAGTTTAGATATGAAAGGTTATTATTTTAGGTCACTTATTAAACAGTCAAAATCGAAATTTGGTGTAAAAAAGTCAAGTGATCATTTTTAACTGGTAAAATATTGTAACTGCAGAAGGTGTGCACAGAGCTAGGAGCAGGAATGGACCACACTTGAGGTCTTAAGAGCAATATTGAAGCTGCTACAGCCCTAGTGTAGTACCACGGTCTTCACAATATTTTTATTTCCACTAATTTTTTAATTGCTTTTTCTCCCTAGAAACTAATGATTTATCTAACTTGAAATGTAAAATTGACATATGTTAGCCATTTCCGTTTTCAACTCCTTCTTCCATTCCAGATTCGATTAACCCCCATATATAAACTTAACAGCACTCACACACGGAACATTCAGTACACAGATATGGAAAGGGAAATATAAATTTTGTTCCCAAAATTTAAAGCAGGTATTAATTAAGTTTTGAAGTAATTCATGTTTATGGAAATTACACATTTTAGAGGGTTACAAATCATTCCTAAGATTTTTTTCAAAGTACCTTTTCAGAAGTTTCCTTACATTACTATCAGATAATGTTGGAAGCGATAAAAAAAAATAAAAGTTACAAATAGTAATTTATCACATATTTGTAGCTAAGACACTGCTTAAACTGCATTTTAATAATTATCAGCAAACAGAATCTCAGACTTCAAAGTAAATAATCATCAGAAAATCCACTAAGGTTACAAGAATAGTCCTTGAATTTCTAATTCCACAGAGATAAATTATGAATCATTTTGGAAACTTTCCCTCATAGTTGCTTATTCAAATTCAAAAATTAGAGAACTCTACAATCTTTATAAAAATGACTTATATCCACAGTAAGATCATTAAAAATACATATTGGTTACACGTTAGTGAACATCTGTAGTCCTATCAGTTCTTCCCAAACAATTATATTTTGAGTATTCCTTATTGTTATGGTCTGTATTTGAAAAGGTTTTGAAGTGCCATTCTGTGGCAAAATCCTCTGAGTTTAAACATGACATCAGCAAGCCATCATGAAGCCCTTTATACTTCACTATAAATCTACTTCTTTCCTAGGAGAGATTAGCAAGTGAAATTGGTAGATATAATTTTAACCACATAATTCCCTGTTCCATAATAAGTTTTCTCGTATTATATTTAACTTATTGAAAGGCGCTTTACTGAGCATATCAACATGATAACACTGAATGTTATGTTTGGATCCTTCATCCTCAAAAATGGATGACGTTGGTCACATGGGTGCCATACTTTTTTGGGATGCTCTACTCAGAACTCTTTTCCAGCTCTGTATCAATTTTCACAATCCATATACACCCAGGAAAGCAAAGTAACTAAGTAACTTGCTGCAAAATCAGAATCTGGCAGCTTTTACATATCTTTAAAAAGTTTTTTTTTTTTTTTTTTTTTTTTAAGGCTTTTTTTTTCCTATTACAGAAACACTCCAAGCAGCCTTTGAAATGCTTATAGACTCTTCCTATTTTTTGTTCATCCAAAGGGGTGGGTACTCCTAGAAAGGTGAAAGGTTTTGAACATGAGAGTTTCTTCATCTAAGAACTCCATTTACTCCTATGTGAGAAGGTAGGAAACACAAAAAGAGCAGGAGAAATCAATGAGCTTTTGCATTTCCTGGAGATGGTAAAAGACTAGTAAATCAGAATGTGGGTTGCTAGACCCCTGCTGAGATGAGAAAACTGAGACGGAAAAACAGTAAGGAACCCTGTGAGGAGCTGTCAAGACCATGGAGGGAGTAGCACGGAATTATTGACTGGGAGCTTTTAGGAAGTGTTTTAGAGAAAGTTGGTTGCCTTTACTCCAGCAAGAAAAACTCAATACTGGAGAACTTGGAACACTGAAACCAGAGAACTTGCTGCGGGAAGAGACAAGTACAAAGATTCACCACTCCATTAGACCCTTTCTCAAGGACACCACTCTGGGAGGGGCGATTACTAACTAGACTTCTTAAATGTCAGCCATCCACCTGAGTTGACTGAGCAAATTTTATCAACAAAAATTTGAGATCTCTGATGTTTGGCTGGTTTTGGAGGCCATTTTAAACTAAAATTCTTTAAAATGTCCATTTATAAAGGTTATTTTAATCACAAGGAAGTGCAACAGGGCAGAATGGGAAATTATTTTCGTAAGTGGCTGCTCGTCCGAAGTTAGACCATGCTTATTTTTTTTCTCTATCAAATTTCCTAAGTCTCATTCTTAAAAAGAAGTTCACTAAAAATAATCCAAAAATTAACTTTTGAAGCTACGAAAAATCATGAACCATCTTCCCAGTTTTCCCATTTGAGAATACAGTTCACCTCTGACAATTATGTCCGTGTATATCTATATTTTAGTGCAAAACCCATGGATTTTTATTATTTTATAAGTGAGCTGGCATCACATTTTCTTTCTCTTTCTTCCCTTCTGTCCTTCAGCCATTAAAAACAGTAACAAGAGTAGTTTATTTATATCAGGATGGGTATTAAACAAAGCCTCTCTCAATCAAAAACACGTAAACTTTTGCAAGCAAAGAAACAGACACTCAAAATACTGCAATGAAGTAAGCTTACCTTTTGCTTGTTCTGTTCATCTTAATATTTCAAGTGCTACAGTGGCAGTGTCCTGCAAAGCTTCCCCACTTGGCAGAACTGCATGAACTGATACAGATTCAGAGAAAGCAAATAGGAGCTTTAGCAACGAAAATGTGGAAAATCCAAGAATTAAAGTGCCGTTATTTCGATTTGAGGAGAGTACAGTCTATTTCTTAGAATATGTGACTCAGTGCATATTTCTTTGTCATTGTTTTGAGGTTCACTTAACCATAAAGAGGGAAGAGAGCTCAGTGAAGCATGACAATAGGCTTTCTGCAGGTTAGCCAAATTTAACTGGCAAAAGCTCGCCCAAACCCTTTTGTCTGCTACATTTGCACCATAATGTCGGTCCTTCTTCGCATATTTCACAGATCGAGTCTGACCATTTATCCCCAAAGATGGAAAAAGTCATTTCTGGGTCTGTCTATAAAAGTTACTTTATAAAGTATTGTGCAATTCTATTACAAAAGCTACAAAAGGGGAAAGTGCACTTCACATGGCCACAATTAGGGCTTCTGTTTCCGCTCTCCTGCCCTTGTCAAAGCTTTGATTTAGTTTTCCTCGGTTTTGTCCAAGGGTCATTACAGATGTCTGCAGATGATTAGCATCTCCCCCCACGGCCCCTCTCCAACTGGGTGATTAGCAAATTAAAACTTTGCATTCTTTTCTGTCTACTGAGACGTATTGGGAAAGATTAGCAAATGTGGCTAATTGTAGAGACCTGAGGGGGCATCAAGGTGTTTGTCTCAGAATTTTGGAAGCTAAATATTAAGTTAGCAATTGGGAAGCCCATTCTGTCACATGCTCCAGCATTTAATGAAGCATTCAACTCTGAAACTTAGAAACAATTGTATCCTTGATGGGGGGGGCTCCAGGAACATTTTGCGTCCATGCCATACCTAAATGGTGCCAACCTGATCCATTAAAAACTGGATTTGGTGTATACCATGAACAGTGTCGGGCACATTTGCAGCTCCATTTCAGAAACTGAAATCCCTGTTCTCCATAAGGACTCAGTATAACTTTTAAAGCGTTTACAACCTGTGAATTCGGGTAAATGCCAACCATAAATGAGGTATTGAAATGATCCAGGAGAAATCGAGTCTTCAGTTTCAAGTGGCAGTTGAAATATAAGAAAAACATTCCCGGCTCCATCTTTGTTTTAGGAGAGCAAATGTTTGATTAGGTTAGCAGACGAAGGAAGGAAAAGCTTTGGCAGGCTTACCCCAACCATATAGGAGATGTAGAATCTACAGAGGGATCCGGCAAACGAGGCCTAAATGTCAGGCTTCCATTCAAAATAGACATTCTGCAAAATATACTTCTAAATGATAACCACAGGAGGGCATAACCGTTTTTTTAAAATGTGTTCCATCTCTTCTTCATTTTTTCTTATCATTCTATGGTAGTGAATCAATCAAGTGGGCACAAATATCTCACAAGGATATTTGTTGGAAAATGAAAAGATAGAAAGCCACACATCGAATTTGAAGCCACATTATCGAATCAACTATGAAATTGAAACTTCATTGTAGGCTATCCTAATTTCAGCCTTCCTTGTCCATACAGCTACTGAGTCTCAAATCATTGGCAGTCAGATACTTCAGGGCCTAAAACCTTCTGTTTCATGACATTACCTCCTGGAGTAGCCGGGCATCTTTACTATGTAGAACAAATTTGGTTACCACTATCCTATGACTCACTTCATCTTTCCACCAGGGAAGCATTGTCCCACTTGTAAAACAAAGAAGCCTATTGATAATTTCCAAAAATCCAAGTTTGTTATCTGAGAACATGTATGGTTTTCAGTTGCTGAAAGAAAAAGTTTATAATGGCATATCTCAGGCCTATTGTGATTGGCTAGAACATATGATACAAAAATATCAACATAAATCAGTAGTCTCTGACATCTTATATACAATCTGTTCCAAAATCAATATATTGACTTAAAGATAACAAATGCAGCCTGCTGAGGTGAGCTAAGCACAATTCTTCATTTCCAGGATATTCTGGGATCACAAAATACTATGTAAATCAAAATTGTGAAATCATCCAGCAAGATGTGAGTTATAAACAAGGATAGTATCCTGATAAACAGGATTTTACTTTTATGATATTATTTCTTTTATCACAAAATTCAAGTTCTATAGCATTTCACAGAGGAATTTCAGTTTAGTGACAAAGATACATCATTAGTGGTATAATGTGCAAATGTAAACAATAATTGCTAATTGAATGTAGGTAAACATTGCTGTACTTTGCCAATGTTGACACTAGAAATAAATGCAATTTTCAATAGTCTTACCACCCTCATTTGGCAAAAGTGAAAGGGCTTTCTTACAAATGACTCTCCTATTATTACACCCAATATTGTTAGCATGCATTCCCATTTTCCATTTTATGTTCCTTGTTTTTTATCAAGAAAGTAAGTATTCTCACTAAATAAAGAAGTGCATGATCATCTCTTCTTGGCATGCAAGTTATTATTTAATCAATTAATGGATATTTTTGACACTCTCCCTCAAAAGTGGTGGATGGAGTCATTGCTGATTTCTCTTCACTTTTCCCTCCACATCTTGCCCATCCTGACTATAATGAAGCTTTTCCATTTTTCACCAGCCCACAAAGTTCTTTTTCTTTTCAGAATCTTCAGCACTTACTGGTTGAATCTCATTAGCTCTTCCCTCTATACCATTTTGCTTTGTTTCATATGTATCACATATTCCTGCTAGAATTTCAGGCCATGTTTAGGCATTCCCTATGTTTTCTGCCCCAATACTAGGCACATGGGGCAATTCAAAATGTACTTACTCAGTTAGGTCTTTTTTTATTTTTATTTTTTGAGGTCTGATCTAAAGCTTGCTGTCTACAGATGATGAGGTAGAGAGGGAGAATATGAGACTTATAGCTAGGGTGCCATATAATTGACAAATATAATTTATGTTCCAAACATTTCATTTTGTAGACTTTTTTTTAAATGCTCTTAAATAAACTGGAAGACAGACAGAATGAATCCAGGGCTGTCTCAGGCAACCCAGATGTATAGTTACCCTAGATTATTTGAGTTCTTACTGTAAGTTGTTTTACCTCCATTACCATATTTACTCTTCATTTTAGTCATATGAGGAAAATACTATTATTATTCCCACTTTACAGAGGAGTGAACCGAGGCACAGAGGGATGAGACAATGGGACCGTAATCACATCGCTCGTAAGTGGGGAGGCGACATTTAATGCTGACCCAATTGACCCTATGGCTTATATGTAAAGCTGTCATAGAAAATTTTTTTTATAGTCTTTCTCTAATAACGGATATGCATTTTCTAAAGAAGGAACTTAAGAAGTTTATGAACCAGAGAAAATATTTCCATAAAATAACTGAAGAAAGTATTGTATAACACGGTTGTCTTAGACCACTAAATAGGACTTTTATATATTTTTTCTATAACAACGAATTGGTTTTGACAAATTTTTATCGGACCTTTTTAAGAAAAAAATCAGTATATGATCAATAAAAATACTAGAAAATATAAGATGGTAGTGAGGTAGGTTTTTAAAAATGATTTTACTCGTAGTTTCCATAGTTTGCTCCATAAGAACCCCATAATTACCCCAGAGTTTGTATTCTTTCTATACCTTTGCACACACATGCATATATACATACATAAATGCACAAATCATGAGTCATCAGTAAATCCAATATGATGTCTCAAAGATAAATCTGAAATACGCTGTTATGAATTAAATGTTTGCATTCCTCAAAATTTCTACATAGAAGTCATAACCCTCAACATTTTGGGATTTGGAGATAAGGCCTTTGTGGGGTGATTAGGTTTAGATGAAGTTGTGAGGGTGAGACCTCCTTGATGGGATTAGTATCCTCATCAGAAGAGGAAGAGAAATCAGAGCTTGCTCTCTCTCTGCCATGTGAGGACCAGTGAGCACGTAGCTGTCTGCAAGCCAGGAAGAGTGGCCTTACCAGGAATCAAATCTGCAAGCACTTTGAGCTTGAGAAACGTGAGACACAGATGTCTTTTGTTTTAAGTCCCCCACTCTAGTGGTAGCCAAAGCAGACTAGGACAGACCCCTGCTACACTCAGAAAAAATCTAATTTTCTCAGAGTCCTTGGCCAGGAGGCCGTGCATGCTGGCTCACATCTCTTTTCCTTTGGGCTGAGTTTCATCTGGAATCTCCTGACTTCCTCATCTGAATAGGTTTCTGAAAGGGGCTCTACATTCTCAATTCTTTTAGATAGGAAGATCAGGAATGGCCTTGCTGAAGAGGGGATATTTGAATGGCCCAGACAAAATAAAATGTGTGTATCTGGGGTGAAAGCATTCTAGGCAAGGTAAAATAAATAAGTAAATAAATAAATAAAAAACAGAGGCAATGCCCCTGAGGTAAGAAAGTGGCTTGACATGTAGGAGGAATGGGAAAGTCAGTCTCGATGAAAGTCAGCAGTGGGGGAAAATCAGGTAAGATCTCTAGGCAAGGACCTGAACTCATGGTCTGTGTAACCTGGGGTTTCTCACCCTCAGGACAATTAGTATTGGGGCTAGGTAATTCTTTGTTATGGGAGGCTGTCTGTGAGGTGTACGGTCTTTAGCAGTCTTTCTGTCCTCTGTCCATTGGAAGAGAGTAGCACTCCCTCTCCATATGACAGCTGAACAGTCTCTAGACATTGGTAAACATCCTCTGGGAGGCAAAATTGCCCCTGGTTGAGAGTCACTACTTTAGACCATGAAAAAGGCTTTGTGTTTATCCGATGAGCTTTACCAAGTCTTTGATCTTTGAGTTTTGAGCAGGAGAGTTACAGGGCCTGATCGACATGAGGACAACTCTGGACATGAGGATAAGAAGGAAATCAGTGGGCCAGTGGGGAGGCAATGGGAGAGATCCAGATGAGACATGATCCCAGTGAGGCTTGGGATGTATAGGTTGTCACTGACAGGATTTACTGATGAGAAGCATGAAGGCAGTGAAAGAAAGAGAAATAGTGAAGAAGATTGAAATATTTAGCCAGAGTTAATTGGCCAGAATGAGAATACCATTGACCGAGAGGAGAAACCCTCAATGGAAGTGGAGCAGTGAAGCGGGGTAAGGTTGTGAGGTGTAGGGATCAGTGCAGGGAGTGGTACAGTTTGAAGGTGATAGCCATTCTGTCAAGGACATATGTGAGATGTCCTTTAGATATCCAAGTTGAGATGATTTGGATACACAACTTGAGGCTTCAAGGGAGTGGTTACTGGTAGAAACAATAGATCAGAAATCAGTATGGAGATAGTATCT